TTTTTTTTGGTCAACTAATGTAATCCCATCCAATACCCGATGTAATAATATTCGGGTTTAGGCAGGAAAAGAGCGACGAACTACTGGAAAAGTGACTGGAGAACAGTCTGTACAGATTGTGGATCCTGTGAAGATCGCACCATCTCAAGTGGCATTCCCGTATCTACCCCGCAGGAAAACTTCGTTCCCACTAAAGGTGCCTTTCAACTGTTTACCTCAGTTTGATTTGAGCAGAAAGATGTTACGGAAGTGATCGCTCAATTTGAGAGCAATTTTTTTCCTTTTATTTTTTCGGTTTAGGTTAGCGGAGGAAGTGGTCTTTACGATTGGAGTGTTGCCGACTCTACCATATGTGGAGTAGATTCGAATGGAGTGTTAAGCAGTTCATCTCCTGGCAATACGTTTGTCACAGCTGCTGATAAAAGAAACCCAGCTCACAAGGATGCTATAAAGGTGAGCTTTCGATGCTTACTTTTTTCAAGAATTGGTGTTTTTACCTGTTTCTTTTTCAACTTTTCCCTTTGTACAGGTTTCAGTTATGGATGTATTGTCCTTGACATTCGGAGAAACTCGTAAAGAGGCAGAAGTAGGGTCAGATCTGGTTCTGAATGTCTTGCTTACGGGCGCTGGGCCAGAAGGATCAGTGCCTCTTACTGATTGCCGAGCTGCTGATTTTACGGTGAAATCATCCGATGACAGTATTTTCAAGCCTGTCACAGGTTCGCTAAATTTTTTCGCTGACCTATATTTTTGCTGTTTTTTGTTGTTGTCGAATTTTTGTCCCTGCAGATGCCGCTCCTACCCTACCTTTGGTTGGTACGGGCTGTTCAACCGTCACTCTGAGAGCAGTTTCTTCTGGTGATGCCAAAGTTACCGTAACTTTCGCTAGCCATGAGGCTACTATAGAAGTTTCGGCGTATCCAGAACTGAAGGTAAGCTTCGACATTTTTAATCTTTGCTTCATTTACTACTTGATTTTGTATCAACTTTCATTTTTGCTTTGTTAAATTTACTCTACTTCATTTTTGTTTTCT